GAGGAAATGATCGAGCAGGAAGGTTTTTGATGGCGATCCTGTAGTCTTTCTCCTTTGCAAAGCCAAATGTAGCTACACTCTCACCTGTGTCTTCTTTTATATGTCAATGTGATTTTGTGAAAAGTGCTTAACATTTTCTACCATGAGGTTTAGATCGTCATTCATTGGGGAGCGCAGACGCTGGTTTAGCGTGAGATACTGGAGGTGTGGCGTGAGAGCGTGTGAAGAGGGTCAAATGTGTGTCTCACGCTCAGTGCATGAGAGTTGGCAGCCCTCTGTAAACATTGCAAACTTTGCAATGTAAGAATTTGGTTTAGTTCACTAGGCTAGAGGAAAACCACTAGGGGGCACCAAAACATGCTTTTATAATTAGAATTTAGTTGTAATTACATTAAAAAATACTTCTTATGTAGGTCTAGCTATTCAAAAATGCTTAGATGGGTTTAAAGTACAAGATGACCTTATTTATTTATTCTTTATTTAACCAGCAAGGTCCCACTGAGATTAAAAACCTCATGTTCAAGGGAGTGCTGGCCAAGAAGCAGCAAAAGTTACAGTTACATATATTTCAGTTGCACAGACATGTTACGTACAAAATTACAGAAGGCAGTTACAACACAGGGAACCCGTCTCAAGGGCTCTTAGTCTAGTTTTAAATGTTTTTAAGGAGATAAACTCAGTTAATTTCCAGTTTTCCTGCATTCTGTTCCATGCAGAAGGAGCAGAGTGAACCAAAGCCCAGTTTGGTGCGAGCAAACGGAACACAGAGTAACAGCTGATCATTTGCTGTGAGAAGTTAAACTTCTCTTTGAGATTAAGTTACAGATGTAGGTGGGTAGTAATCCAAGCATGGCCTTATAAATGAAGGTGTACCAATGTCCCAACCTCCTGGTGGAAAAAGGAGGCCTTGAAAGGTGAACTATGTAAGAATTGGACAGTAAAATTATCACAAAACAGTCCAATGTGTCTATCACATTAAGGGAAGGTTACAATGACAAGATCTCCTTTTCAGCTGGCTGGGGGAATGCCAGGTTTTCTGTTTTCATGAAAGGCCGGGTCGTGACGGCCTTTCCATTCCTCTCATTCGTCCCGGTCCCAGAGCCAATCATATTTGAGCCTGGTGGGTTGCCTTATCTTAGACACCACCGCTGTGTTGCATTTGTTATTCACCTCCAGTCTCCACCAGCAGCTAATCTCCAGCCATGAGGAGCCTTTTTCCTCCTGGCTGTTGTGGAGAGAACTGAAGCAGCACACGGAGCAGTACAGAATGATTTTCTTGCAACCATAAGACGCCTCCATCCTTCCCAAAGACTGAGGAGCAACAAGAGGAATAAAACGCAGCTAAACGAGTTATTTTCAGAGATATTTGGACCAAATCAATTTCAGGAGGGATGCAGAGTTCTCCTAGACAGGTAAGATCTAGTATGTTGTTGCTTGACCAAACAAAAACAGCAGATGGCATTGTGTTACCCAGGAAGTTAAAAGCTAATTAGCATCACCACTAACGGTGGTTAGTTAGTATTTTTTACTTTTCGGTGAGTGTGTGTGCTCACGTTTTGTGTTAATTTTGTTACAGAATGTCTGACGACATGTGAGGAGTGTTCAAATACTCAGCTGTTGTGGTTAAGGAGAGGTTTTTGGGTGGTGTTAAGATGGAAAGCGCTACTATGCTACCTGTGTACAATGGTGGTTTACTTTATTACATAAAAATTGGCCAACATAATCCATATAATTATAATTTTCCATTGTTTTGCTTACATAAATTAGCATTTTATTACCGCAAATAAATAATAGCACCTTAAAATGAAGATCATCAGTTTATTACTACTGTGGAAAGAACGAACAGGATATCTTCAAATTCTAGTTACTGCTAAGGTAAATGATGTCTTTAAGATTAAGGGGTTAAAAACACAAATGCACTGCAAGGAGGACAGTTTCAGTTTTGGTTTCACTACAGTGAAAAAACGGACTCCAGAGTACCCTAAAGCAAGCCAAAATTGCTTTTAGAACACACTTCGACCCGCTCCCATTTATTTTAGACCTGATTTTTATGGTTATACAACACGAAGCCGCCAATATTTTTCAACAACTAGAAAACGGTGATCCGTGACCTTTCTAGCGTTCAGAACCTAGTTTGTCATGTAGATTCATTATTGCAGCTTTAATAGAGCTTTAGTAAATATTCCAGGTTAAGTTTTATAAATGAGGCCCCAGACCTTTAGTAAATCCTAACCAGACTTACCGTCAATGTAGACAATACCAGGCAGGAACCTCAGCTTCTTGTGAGCATTCTGACTCACACCCTGAAAGGAGGAAACAAACTTCAGCTAAATTCAGAGTGACAACAGGACAGTCCACTGCTGGGTTTGGAAAACAACGTCCAGAGAAGGCCTCTGGATCTGGACCCTTTGTTCGATCTCACTGCTCACAGAGGCCAGAACACAGTTTTACACGGATTAGTCCACGAGGTCACTGAGCAGTGAGTGATAGCCATATGTTATTATTGACCTTTTGCACCAACGTCACCGAATCATGCGGATCTACCCAATTTGTTGGCAAAAGCATTTAAACAGCGAGCGACACAAGTACTAAACAAAGGGACAAGTAGAGCCTGACATTGTTTTGTTGTTGTTGTTTTTCGAGATTTTTAGCCTTTCTTCTACTGGTTCAACCCCATGATCAGTTATCAGAACAAGTAGCACCCCTAGGTGGGGATCATAGAGAGCGGCATTTACAAAAGTTAAGTCTTAAAAACTAGCTTACAAGCGTAAGCTTAAGGTCTCTCTGCAGCTGTTCACTGATGTAAACAAGTTGCCGACTTAGCCAAATTCACCCCTCTGGCTTTATAACATTATTTTATAAACAGCGTTTCACTTTACACCAGAGCAGATTTTAGAAAAAGTCCAGATCCCTACCGGTTTTGATGCTGGTGGTGTCACCGGGTTCTGCTGCTGCTCTCATACCGGGATGAAACAAGATGTGTCCTAACGGTGACGCTCGTACTAATTAATATGTTTATTAAAAAAAGTCCGGACACCAACTGGTTTTTGTCACTGGCGGGGGATTTAGATGGTACTCACGCCAAGATAAGACATTTCATAACCGTAACTTTAACACATGTAACCATACAATGGAGCAATGATATTGTAATTAATTATCCCGCATTTCACTACAGCGGACGGTACTGCACGTCCTCCGTGGTGAAACATCCATCACTTTGTCCCTGTCCCTGCTTCCTCATGGAATAAAACTAGTTACCGACTTTACCAGAATTCACTCCGCTGGATTTATAACATCATATGATAAAAAGCATTTCACTTTACACTGGAGCTGATAGAGTCCCATGAGTGGAAGGGGTCAATAGATGCCTTAAGCGGGTGAGGCAGGAGGTCACTGGTAGGGATGTCGCGGTTGAGGAATTCCCCCTGCGGTGATTCAGGGTGGCTTAATATTGCGGTGTGCGATATTATTGCAGCACTTTTTTTTATTGCAGTACTATCTAAACATAATGCTTACACATTTAAAAAGGTTAAAAATTGCCGTGCCTTCTTTTATAACACTTTACTGAATGCAGATCAAAGGGCAGTAACAACACAGATCGCAGTAGCGTTTGTTTCTCTGACAGTCGGAGTCCGACTGAACTTAAAAACAACAAAATTCAGGAGAAGGTTAAACTTTTAGATGCAAATTTGGCTGCAGCATCTAAGAAATAAGAAACAAGTCCCCATTTTGTTTAGTTGTTTAAAATCAAGCATAAAAAATTACATGTACCGGGCGCGCGGCACTATCATTTCACTTTCACACACACGAATGACGGTGATTTATAGCTCGGTCACGTCCTTGTTACCCACAAGGAAAACCAGCATGTTAGCCATATATGCTTTGAGAGAGGATCTGAGAGGGGTGGCAACATTTCCAGCAACACTGAAAACCCTCTCGGATGGTGCGCTCGTTGCACTTAACCAGACACACTGATTCAGGAGGAGAGGTCACAAACAAACATAAAAGAGAGAAAATGAGGGGGAGTGAGAAACTTTAACGCACACGTACTTGCGTGCGACTCTGGCGAGCAAAGGGAATCTCTCCCGGTTGTTGCTCCACCATGTCAGGGGGGTTTCTTTAGGGTGGATGCATTCCTCCTGCAGGTAGCGAGTGAGCTCCAGCTCGGCTCAAACTCTCTTCGGGACGGTTGCAGAAGCAGTGCTTGTCCGGGACTTCAGCAGGTCTCCGAGCGTTTATTTATTTATTTATTTTGCCGCTGGTGGCAGCTCTGTCTTGGCCAAGGAATCTGGCTGCGCAGCAGCTGACGTACTGAAAACCAAAGTGCTCCCAAAGGAGCGAAGTAACGTTTCGTTTTGATACCAGTGCAGCCATCCTTCTCAACATGCATCATTGAGTTGAATCACGTTCAGTAATCGCGGTGGCCCATGATGCAGCGCGGTGGGTTTCTTCATATTGCGATATTTCATTTTTGCGGTTACCATCACAGCCCTAGTCACTGGACTCTGATGTCTCTTTACTACTGAACACGGTTCAATTTGGCTAAACTTGAGTCAGCAAAGCTCAACATGGACTGTTTTTCTAAGTCAAACTGGGGCACAGCTCTAGTCGCTGCGCTCATCATAGCGTGGGCGGGAGGCACTTGCAGCAACTGCAATCTCTATCTGACATAAAAGTAGGCCATGTGATCTGTATGTGAAACAAAACACCTGCTTTGATGTGGTTCCAAGCATTCTGAACTGGGCAAAAAGCATCATGGAGTAACTAGTCGCTCCAGCGCTTTGTGCCCGCTGCCTCACTGCCTGCTTTTCACGGGAACTTCCCAACCCTGGCAAAGACGAGCGCAGCCATTAGAGCCGTTTCTGGGTTGCAGTGGAACACCACCTAAAGTGTGCAGAGCGGAGTTTAATGAAGTAGAGCTGAACTGAACAGGTACTGATGGAATGGCAGCATTATCTGAATAGAAGAGTTGTGGAAACATGTCTACAATTAACCTCTTGCACTTGACGAAGCATCGAACAGGAAGCTGGACCTCCAGAAACAGCCAGCAGCACCTACAGACAAGAGTCATACAATCACAATCATCATGGAGGAACAATCATATTGCATAATTTTATCCATTTCACTGGATCATTTTGTCCTTTTGTGGCCAATCAGGGCAGTGTACATAAAACTGTCTATTTAAATCCTGCAGTCGGTCCAACCCCTCTCTCTGCAGATATGCGCCCACATTTGGGTTCAGTTTGCAGCTCGTTTCTTAACCCTTGTTTTGCAGGTGGTCCTTTTGGTTCAGTAAACTATATTTTAGTATCATTCACATGGTGTGTCTCTGCTTTTGTTATAGCCCAACAAGCTGAAATGTAAGAAAGAACAAGTAAATGACAAATGAGCTGCACCTGTGTGGCACCTTGCAGACTTATATGAAGCATTTTTCACTACAGTATATCAATCACCCATGCACACAGTGTTGATTAGCTTAAATGTAGCGACAGCTGCCCGAGGGTGCATTGATAGAGGCGAGGCTGCTGTACACTGGCACCAGCGGTCACTCTTACCACCACCAGCAGGGAAGGAGGGACGAGTGTCTTCCCAAAGACTCAACAGCAGAATTCTCTGCAGAGAGCCAGGATCGATCCTACAGCCCTCTGATTACTGGACAACCTGCTATACCTCCTGAGCTACTGCTGCCCCAAAAAGTTATTTTTTCTCACCACATTATTATCATTATTGCTATTAGCTTAATAAAAATAATTCTTGTTCACCTTTGTACTCCTTTGCTATCTGTCTGAGCTGTGGCAACGCAAAACTTTCCCCACTGTGGGATCATTGAAGTCTTATAAAAAAATAAAAACCTGATCTGCAAATTCCAATCAAGGCCTGTCAGAGCCGATCAGACCAGCTGATCACTCCTGTTTAACTACAGAAACAAAGACGCTCAAAGTGGCTGCAGTCGGACACAGCTGTACTCACCGACACCCGTCTGTATGAGTGTGACTGTCAGAGGGCTGAGCAACTAACCTGCTAAAGAATTAAAACAGCCTTTCTCTGTGGCTGAGAACAAACCTCACAGCAGACGACATAGCACAACTGATAGGACTGGTAGCTAACTCCACTTACTTCACATATGACAACGCAATATACAAACAACTGGAAGGCTTCGCCATGGGTAACCCGTTATCAGCCACCCTGTGCGAGTTTTTCATGAAAGACCTGGAACAAAAAGCTATAGCCACCGCCCCCCCAAACTGCTAAATAAAATTATGGAAACGCTACATGGATGACATACTAGAACTCATACCAAAAGGTCAAACAGAAACACTAACACAACACTTAAACAACATTGACGACACGGGCAACATAAAGTTCACTTATGAGTCAGAATCAGAAGGCAGCATAGCATTTATGGATATGAAAATAACCAGGCAGACCAACAGGACCCTAAACATAAACACATACAGGAAACCAACACACACAGACCAATATCTATTATGGACATCAGAACACAGCACCATACACAAAATGTCAGTAATCAGAACATTATATCACCGAGCAAACATAATAACAGAAGAGAGAGACCGTAAACAAGAAGACAAACACATACAACACGCTTTAAAGACCTGCAGATACCCGACATGGGCAATAAACAAAGGAAAACAACAAACAAAAACAGAAAGCAAAGAACAACCCAAAAAAAGAACCAGAAACACAGAAAGACAAGAACCAAAACCAGTGATAACCCTACCATACATCAGAGGCATAACGGAAAAAATAAGAGCAACAATGAAAAAACACAACATAAACACACCAACAAAACCATACACAACAGTTAGAAACAGACTAGTACATCCAAAAGACAAAATATCAGCTGGACTTAAATGTGGAGCCGTTTATGAAATCCCATGCAAACTCTGCAATAAAACACACATAGGAGAAACCGGACGCCAACTCAACACACAAACAATAGAACATAGAAAGGAGTGTGAGAAATAGGCAAGTCGAAAACACACAAGAGCAGCAAAAGAAGAAGCAGAAAGCACAATAAAGAAGTCAGCCATAACAGATCACTGCATAAGAGAAAACCATATAATGGACTGAGACAACACAAGGATCGTAAACACCGAACAACAAAAATACAAAAGATGGATAAAAGAAGCAATCGAGATAAGGAAACGTGGATGTGGGACCATGAACAGGGACGACGGAGTTTACACGCTGGACCACGCATGGGACTGCATCGTCGGAGAGGGGAGAGCGGGCACTAGAGGGCGACAACGTCCTCTGCTGCCCGCAGATAAACGGAGAAGGAAGTGACGCATCACCATCAGCGTCAGCCTGAAGAAGCCAGCAGCCGTTGGCAAAACTGTAGCGTCAATAACAGGTAACAAAACTGTTTCTGTGTTTTAAATAAAGAACGAAAACATGGAATTAGAAATAATGCACAGCAAGAACCCACCTAAGATAGTCTCTGTGGTGTTTATAAATCTGTCCAACTTTGATTCGACCGCAAATCAAAACATCCAGATTAATAAAACCAGTCCCCACGCCATCTCAGTTCAGTCCACTGCATTCTAAGAGAAGTATCGGACCGGCCACCCGGATTCCTTTTTAAGCAAAGAACCAACAAGCTGGATAAAATCTGTTGCATTTTACTAACCAATTAACATTCCTTTCAGAATAAAAGCTGAACTCACTGACCCTCCGGGTCCATCTGACGCTGTCAACCAACTGTCACCTTTTACCTGGAGACAATCCAAAGACTAGTCTGTCGTACTGTTGACGCTGTTTCATCGGCTCCAGTGCCGAAAGGGGGGTCCGAGGACCTGGCATTCTGGATCTGTACTCAGGTCTCATCCTAAGGGTATGTGTGGAGCGACAAAATGGCGTCTTATGTGTTTATGAAACTCTTAACTAATACAAGAGCTTAAACCTACGCTACCCGGCCCGGGCCGACCCGGTACAGATGGGAATGGCCCAATAGGTTGTTTACATATCTGGGTGGCCTGGTATTTTTCCGGGCCAACCAAGGCTCATTCTCAGCCCTCTTCTTGAGGGGGTCTGCTGCAGGCCAACCAGGGCCAACACACCCACTGCTGACAGCAAATTCACACCTTCCATTAGAGCAAGCCTCTGATTGGTGGGTAGAATCAGCCCACATGGGCTTAAGGCAAGGATGTGTGGAATCAACCGGGCCAGGCTGGTGCCGACTGGGGCTACCCGGCCCGGGCCGACCTGGTACAGATGGGAATGGCCCATTAGTCGCCTACTACATCTACGCTCAGCCAGCTGCCCTTACTCTCTTGCTTTTGTGTGTGTGTGTGTGTGTGTTTGCATCTGCTTGAGATGGGATTGAGGGTGGGAGGAGGGAAATACAGAAGGGATCTTGGATGTTAATCTATGTGGGAGGGGTGGGAAACCGACTGCTGTGAGGTTGTTTTTAATATTGTAAAGCACTTTGAGCTGTGCTTGTTGTACGAAAAGTGCTTCATAAATAAATTTGATTTGATTTGAAGTGTTTTGCCCAAGGACACAACTGCAACATTCTCTGGCAGGAGCCGAGATCCAACATAAACCTTCCGACTGCTGGACAACCCGCTTTACCTCCTCAGCTACTGCTGTCCCAATTCCCCTCTCATACAGTGTCACTTGCACATACATACACACTTTTTGGTTTGACGCTGTAAGAAAATATATATAAATATGTGTGTGTGTGTGTGTGTGTGTGTGTGTGTGTGTGTGTGTGTGTGTGTGTGTGTGTGTGAAATAATGTATATGTGAGTAAAAGAATGAGTTATGGCCTATACGGCCCTCCTAGATTGGCTCGTGTGTGCTTACCTTTTCTCCTGGGAAAATCACCCTGGTTTTACCCAGCATGGCTCTGAATTTGTGAACAAAGCTTTCATTGAAACAGCTCCTGAAAAGACAAACACTCTTCCATCACATCCACTTCCACATCCTGTAAATTAACCTAGCAGCAGCATAGTAACCTCAAACATGCTGGTTTTTAATTGTGGCATATCTATTTTATTATGTATGGCTTCTTTCTTACATTTGTTCCTTGTTTCTTTTCTGATTCGAGTCTATCTGGTTCTTCACTGAACACAGAGGAAATAGAGCTTGTTCTTACCTTTACTGACATGTTTCGGCTCTCAACGGCGCCTTTGCCAGAGCTTTCGTCTACATTGGTGGCGTCACTTCCTTGTTTCTCCGTTTTTCTGCGGACAACAGAGGACGATATCGCCCTCTACTGTCTGCGCCTTCTCCGTTGACCACCATGACCCATGAGGGGTCCAGTATGTACACTCCTTCTTCCCTGTTCATAGTCCTGGGAGAAAACTCTGACGTAGGCACTAGTGAGAGCCGAAACATGTCAGCGAATGCAACAGCAAGCTCTATTTACTCTGTGAATAGTGAAGAACCAGAAAAATGTATCATTTTGTACTTGTGTGTAGAAACGCTCTTAAATGTAAGAACATCTCTGACCGTGCGTACGCACAGCATCTAGTGGAAGAAGATTCGAGATGACGAGCGAGGGTGAGTCGTATACAGTACATTGATAAGTAGATAAGTACATTTCACTGTTGTATCCAGATACAAAAAAAGTAGTTTGAGATATTTTCAGAGATGACTATTTGCTTCTAAGCCTCAAACCATTAGCATTGTTAGCTCAACGTTAGCCTTTAGCCTAATTCACAAAAGGATGGTGTGGCTTCATAGGGGTACAAGAAAGAATTTCCATGTCGTCCCTTACTGGCTTAGGATCTCGAACAAATGCTGCTGTGTTTTGCCTGCTGGTGGGAAATTACAAATGCCGGCACTGCAGCGTTAGCTCAGCGCAGATTTGGCAACAGATACTAAACAGTAACTACTTCCCTCTTCAGCCTTTTTAAAAGGAGAAAAACTGACAACCTCCAACCAGCTGAGAAGGAAATCTGTTTCAATGACAGAAACGCTGAGCTAATCCATATGCATGGGATTCATAAGCATGTGTTACCTGCAGTAGGCATCCCCTGCTCTGATGACCAAGGCTGCAGAGGCATCTTTGCATTTCACGCATTTCTTAGAAGCACTAAAAGAAGAAATATTTCTGTAAAATTTGCACAGTGCAACAAGTAAAAATGAGAGAAGATGGCTGAAGAACATTACTCATGTCCCAAATTAGTCCCTGTCATAAACAGCATTATTGTTATTACTAATATCATTTTATTTCCTTTACTTTTCCCTAATCAGTAATATAGTGAACAATAACAGGGCCTGTGTGGACCAAACATCTGGAGCCTTTTGGAGAACATGGAGTTCATGTTACCACAATGACTCCATAAGGTTCTGAGACCTTTGAATCCACGTCTGTTCCAGTTACCATCTGCCTCTCCATCTTTTCATGATCACTTTTAGGTAATCTGATGAGACTGTGACCTACTTAAGTAACTGCTACAATGTATCCAATCAGGATGGAAAAGTATGTCTTGTAAAATACAGAAAAGGGATTTACAGGTCCTTCTCAAAAAATTAGCATATTGTGATAAAGTTCATTATTGTCTGTAATGTACTGATAAACATTAGACTTTCATATATGTTAGATTCATTACACACAACTGAAGTAGTTCAAGCCTTTTATTGTTTCTAATATTGATGATTTTGGCATACAGCTCATGAAAACCCAAAATTCCCATCTCAAAAAATTAGCATATTTCATCCGACCAATAAAAGAAAAGTGTTTTTAATACAAAAAGTCAACCTTCAAATAATTATGTTCAGTTATGCACTCAATACTTGGTCGGGAATCATTTTGCAGAAATGACTGCTTCAATGCGGCGTGGCATGGAGGCAATCAGCCTGTGGCACTGCTGAGGTGTTATGGGGGCCCAGGATGTTTCGATAGTGGCCTTAAGCTCATCCAGAGTGTTGGGTCTTGCGTCTCTCAACTTTCTCTTCACAATTCCCACAGATTCTCTATGGGGTTGTAACGTCCTGCAATGGTCAGTTTTCACCTATAAACTGACCTACATGCCACCGGTCACCGGAAGACATAAATTCCAGCTCTAATGTGGATTTCAAATTCTACCTTCCAACAAGCAACAAGGTTCTGCAAACCTTGTTGACATTTCAGGGGGAACACGATGTCAGCCTGTGTTCCCAAACAAGGCCTTCTTCTGATAACACTGCAGGATTCCTCATGCCTCTGAATAAAGTGACTATTTTCAGCTCACATGAGTTAATCAATCGTGAAATGGAATAAAAAAAAGTTATATGAAATGATCAATAATGTTTTGATTAATCTGTGCTTAAATTAATAGGGTTGATTAATCTGTGCTTAAATTACTGTGGTTGAAATGAAACATTTTGATATTATGATCAGTAATTTTAGATTTAACAAGTGATTCATTATCTACACACAGACACAATGTTCATTAGAGATAAATTAAAGTTAAGTAAACGTCATGACACATAGATATTTTCTTAGCCACAAATCCTACATACATCCTGTATCTGAAAGAGACGTGATGTTCTGAGCTTTGCTTGTGAACACCCCTTAACATTGCACGTCCCAATTGGCCAAGTAAATCATAATATATGAGAATATTAAAACTGAATCACTTACAGTGACTCACAGAGGTGGAAAGTAACAAATTACATTTACTCACTTTACTGTAATTGAGTAGCTTTTTTGTAAATTTATACTTTTTAAGTCGTTTTTAAAAGCTGTACTTTTACTTTTACTTGAGTAAGTTTTTAAAAAAGAATTGTAATTCGCTACATTTTAAATCATATCTGTTACTGAGTAAAAATCAATTATAGGCTTAATAAATTAAAAATATTACGTGAAGCAGCGTTGGAACGGAAAGAGACACCTGCATGAGCGCCGCGTCTAAACCGTGGGGGTGTGGGGGGTGTACACTTTAGCTCAAAGACATCGGCTCAGTTCCTCAACTCGATGTTTACCTCCTCTCTCCCTCCTCTCCTGTGGGTTGGATCCCGCACCTTCGCGCACCGGTGTGACGTCATCAGAATTCTGCTCGGTTCGGTAGCCGGACTCGGTTCCGTGTTTGAATTGTGTTTCTCTACTGCTCTGCACGGCAGTGGCAAAATAACGTTTAGCGCTCATAACAAGCGGATTATCAGCACTCTGCTCATAAAACAAAAGACCGGCAGGCCTCTGTGAGTTAAAACATCCTGATACTGTTCAGGTGTAAACATTGTGCTCCATCCATGTGTTTGAACTCAGAAGATGCTTCTTGATGCTACAGATATGTGATGATTTAGCTTGTTTCTTTATTTTACTCCAGAATAAGATATTAAATTATTACTAAAGCAATTCAATGTAGTTAAATTAGTCATTCACATGATTCTAACATGCTGCAGTGTGTGTGTGTGTGTGTGTGTGTGTGTGTGTGTGTGTGTGTGTGTGTGTGTGTGTGTGTGTGTGTGTGTGTTACACATATAGGACTGCATGGTTTCATCAAATCCATGCAGTCCTATATATTGGCTGAAGTAATGGCTCAGGAAAATATCTTGTATTTCATACATAATGACGTCTCTGCAGTGTTTATGATAATGTTTTATCTTTGGTCTGGGAGGTGTAACTTATCATGATACAAGCCTTTTAAAACATGTTAACGTTTTACAAGAGGAGATAAATGCATAGATTTAAAGTTCATGTTTGGAGACCAACCTTCACAGTTTGGAGGCTCACGCTGGTGAGGAGACACCATTAGTTCTAGTAGCACCTGGGCTCCTAAGGCCTGTTCTGACAGGATGGACGTTACGGGACCATTAAGGATTCCAGTTGGACGATTGGAGGATTATTTAGGAGGAATGGAATGAACAAACTGATTTTAGTGGTGAAGGGTTAAATGAGTGAGTGAACCCACTACCAAGGATGAACTCTGCTAGCTTTAAAAATCAGCTGCTCTAAATAAGCATGAAGGTCAGAGAGGAGCTCTAGGATGGACACGAATAAAGGAACTGTAATTTAGAGGTAAAGCAGGGCAGGGCCAACGTTAGCAGCTGTCATACGCTCCATCTGAAATGTTTAACTGCATTAGGCTTGTTATATTATGTGACAGGTTAGAGCACTTTCTCATGTTAGAGTTTTGTCATGAAAACATTGAGATACCTCACACACTGATGGCATCTTAAAAAATTATTTTTTCTCAAAATAAAGAACAATTTTAACCACAATTGAAACTTACCATCCTAGAAAAACCTCGTCCAATCAATGTGCACGTCCTGTTCTCACTGATTGGATAGGAATCCCTCCTTCAAGCTGAGCGTGTGTGTATGTGTGTGCGCGCACACACGAGCGAATTGTGAACTGGCGTTGTGATTTAGCACTACTTAGATGTAGCCATCCTTATGCTGACAAAAATGTAACTAAGTAACTTTTACTTTGAGTACATTTTGTTTACGATACTTTTTACTTTTACTTAAGTAAAAATTTAGGCAAGTACTTTTACTTGTAATTGAGTAAAAAATTATCATAGTATTGGTACTCGTACTTAAGTAGGAAATTTTTGTAATCTTTCCACCTCTGGTGACTCAGCACTTCAACTTCCAGCTTCCAGCATCCTGTGAGATTCAGCATTCAGTTCTAGAGAAAGTTACGGACAGGCCATCCATAGCAAACCCTCTTTAACCCAGAGCATTTCTGACAAGCTGTCAAAAACCCTGCAACACACTACAGCTGACACAGCAAAACGGTTTCCTCAGCTATTCAGAAACAGCTGTTCTAGACGCAAACGATTTAATCTATCTGTTGTGACACTGAAACATCTCTGGGCTGGAGAGTTGGTGCTGTGGTTAATCTACCAAACCTCGGTGCCCAGAGGTCATCCGACCTCCCTGACCTTCGGATCCACGAAGAGGGTCTCCAAACAAAGGGTGAGGTACACACACAGATTGCGTCTGATGCCTTTTTGATAAGAACCAACTTCATAGCTTAATGCAAACCAAATTCTCCTTTTTACACCAAGAACTCAGTTCTTCTAGATGCGAAGGTTCTGATAAACATTCACACAGTCACCATACATCACATCCCATCCTCTTAGTTTCATCCATCACAGTAGTCTTGGTTAACTTGTCATGTTTTATTTCTTTAGAAAATAAATGTCCTATCTTTTATAAACCTGACTCTGTCTGAATTGAGACGAAGTGTGTGTTTGATCACTGAAAAAGAAAAAGAATCTTTTGATTAAACATCCAAAGACCATGCAGGTTGATATTCTATATTTATATAGAGTATCACAACTTATAGGTCATAAGGTAATAAATTAAGCTTAAAAGCACAACATTTACCATCCTACTAATCTAATGGCATAAGCCAGCCTATCTTGTTCAAATCAATAAACACTTCGTGTCGTTTCTGGTTTTTCTTTCCCAGGCCGATGGCGAAGGGAGGTTTTATCTTGAAGAGACTTGAGAGTGACTCTTTGTATTTCCTGTCCAAAAGGGGGGTTTATCTTTCTGTGCGCTAACTCTTTGATTACCAAGTCTGTCTCATACTAATGCCAGTTTACCTTCGAGGACGGACGTTGTCTCTCTCTCTGCAACTCTGTGTCTGCACAAAGGTGAATAAATGAAAGTTGTGTTAAAAGTGAATGTGTGTTCGTTTGAATGTGATTTTGTCACTTCTGTCTAGTGTCCATTTCTGGCCTAAAAGGCCCTGCTCTGGTTTTCTCTGCTCAAAGCAAAACCAGAAGTTTCTGACACAAACCTAATCTTCAAAGATTTGTCAAGGCTGCTCATGCTTTGCTCTTATCTAAACTGTTTCTCCTTTCCAGCTCAAGAGAAGAATGAAGAAAAGAACTCTTTCTTTTTAATAAATCAAAGAACTCTATTTTAATAAGCTAATCAAACAAAGTATTAGCCAGTAATAAAATGTGAACCAATATGTGAAATGAAAATATTAATTACCCATGGATATACAAAGTTTGCTCCTGCTTCAAATTGTTCCCGCCACGTGGATATATTAATGATTTGCAGACTTTTGATTAAACGCCTTCAGAGGGTTTGCCTTCCACAGGAACTTAGCCGGGGAAATTACATCAAGCATACTCGACGGGGTCCCTC